TGCCAGGACCCGAAATATAAATAGTGACCCTCGTACAAATGAATTCAATATAATTTTTTGATTATTATTCATTAAATTTCATAGTTTACTCAGCATATTTCTCGAAAATATTTTATTCAAATTACTACAGAATAAATAAATAAATAATTGTGCTATTAAAATTATTATTTGATAATAATAATAGCTTATTTATATAATATGGTTTAATTTGAAAATAATTACCATTAACTCAATGATCAGAGTTCAGGAATAAATTGAAAACTTAAGAAAGATTTCAGTTTTAAGATTATTTTTGTCGGATTCTTCACTTACATACATACATATGTATAATTAAATGGAGAAATTAATGAATTTGAAAAATTTAGTTCTATTTATTGTATTTAATGGAATTTTATTAATAAATTAAAGAAATCTTTTAAATTGGGCGATTGAAAATTTCAAAAAATAAATATTTTAATAACGGCATATTTAACGGAACGGCAAAATCAACTGTTCAGTATTCTGCATATATGTAATGTCACACACGCCGAAACAAATAATGTCAAAAACAAAACGCAAGTGGAATAATAGGATTTCATGCTATTTTACCGTTGTCGGTCAAATACCTATGCGATTCGAGTTTAACTTCATTCTGAAATAGTCTCATTTGTGTAATTATGTATGTACATTCCACATGAATTTTGACATTTCGCGGCGGAAAATCGCTATTTTTCTGTTCTGACATATTAATTTGCTTGTTGTGGACGGGTTAAAAAATTAAGATTAAATCAATTCGAAAATGTTTTGTCATTTCATTAATAAGGTCCAGCTACACACTGATATGGTACGATATAGTACGGTAATGTTGATAAATTACAAAATTAAAATTACAATTACCGTTTTATTTTTGTTTTCGTTTCATTTCAGCTTAATTCTCTCTAATGCTCATCAGTTTAATAAAATATTATTGTGGCATTTAGAAATCCTGGGAAAAAAAACAGAAAACAATTCAAAAATGACACTTCAGCTCTTCTTACTGAAATTTCACGTATTTAATTATAATTATTATTTATGTAGTCGGTTATAATTTTAAATGAAATAAAGAAAATCGCAGCATTTTGGTAATGCTTATATTAATTTTAACATTAATCATTATATGTATTAATAAACTAGTTTTTTACCCTACAATAAAACAAAATAGGAAAAAAAAAATATCATTAAACTTGTTAATGCAGACTATAGACCTCAACAAGTTGACCTAAAAATTAAAAGTAAATAAAGAAAATAAACAAAATAAAAAATATAAAATAAAATTTCAGTTTGCATTTCCACATGCTATAAAAAATACAAAATTTTTTTTTTATGATAGTGTAACTCTAACTTATTTGACGATGACATGTTTTTATTTTTTTGTTTCTTTTTTTTTTTGCAAATTGCAAATAATTTTATCACATTTCTTTATATTATATTTTATTTTATTTTATAATTTGCATTATTAAGCGTTTTAAACCAACCCAAGTTTATATTTATATGGTACTGGCTTATAGGCTTATGGGTATATATTTTTGGTGTACCATGTATTTTGACGTTAGCATTACTCGTAATACGCAAAATGGAAAAATTTCACTTTCATTACGAATAACTTTTGCTGTTTTTCTTAATAAATTTTTTGTTATAGCCCACATAAATAAACAGATTGGATATGAAATTCAAAAAAAAAAAAGGAAGAAGAAAAATAGTAAATTTACTTAATAAAATAACTTTTCGCATAAATTACTTCCTATTTGTACGTATGTAAATATAAAACAAAGAGAGGGAAACGTTTTCAAAATTTTCAAATTCAAACAGCAAAAAAATCATTCCAGTATGAAAAAAAATAATATTTAATACTAAAATTTTTATAGAAAATTTTATGTCAATTATAAAAGTAATGAAATTATGAAAATTTCTACCGTTAATATTTTTTAATTTCAATGCTTTATAACTAACCCATCCATATTTTATAATATCTCAAGTGTGTCGCAAAAAAAATATTCGATCGGAACGGAAAACATAAAAATATTTCAACTATTACAACAAAATTTCGACTTTTCTTATATCGTAAATATTAATTATGTTTTAGATAAAAAAAACCTTATTTTAAAAGGAGCACAATTTTACTAAATCCGACTGCATTGAACCATTGAATGGAATACAGAATTGAAATTCATTTTATAATATTACGTATACGTATACTTCCCTTTATTACTTTTCCGCAATGTAAAAATATGGCAACAGATACTTAACAGAAGTTGCATCGAACAAAAGTGTTTTGAAAATGATTTTTGAAGAATTATTGTTCGATACAACTTACATTTGTTTGAAATTGTTCGATGCAACTTAAAACTTTTGACAATATTATGGTATAGTGTGGGGAAAAAAAAGAAGGTGAAAGTTCGATAAACAAAAAAAATTTAAAATTTCTAAAATTTGAAGGAAATTTTTATTAGTTTTTTACTTTAAAGTTTCATTTTATCACATATTTAAAATAAGTATAGATACTTCAATTTATAAACATATATTTTTTAATGTAAATGAATTAAGATTTTGACCTAATACGTAAAGAATAAGAAAGATTGTATAAAATACTAGGAATTCTAAATATTAAATGCACATGAATGTGTGTATCTGTTCTGTCATTTTAAAGAAAGTTTGAACCGATTAAAATAAGACCACCATATTTAAGAGAGCATTACAAACTGTAATTAACTTTTTATACCATTAAAATATCAATGACATGATCGTTTTCCAGTAATTTCTAAATGATATGCTTCATTTATTCTTCCTATAACTACTATTCATTTAGTCAAATTTATTTATGCCAAGAATTAGAGCAAGTAGAAGATATTAAAATGAAAATAATTCGATATAAGTAAATAAATTTTAAAATTAAAATAAAATTTAATTTACAATTTTTATAGTATTAAAATATTGTGATGAAATTAATGCAGCTTTTCTTTTCATTTAGCATTGTATGACATAAAGAAGGTATTGCTTAATGCATGCAAAGATTTGATATACATACATATGTATGTGCATATTGTACTTTAAATAGAATTGTTTTCCTCCATGGTGAAAGGATGCATTTTTTTCGAAATATCTAAGATCTAAGTTTTGATTAAATGCAAACTCGTAATGAATTGATGAATTTTTAGAAGTAATTTTTAGAATCTTTGTCACGTGCAAATTCACTTTTGTTGTTAATCAAATATTTCGGTAAGCAGTTCGATAAGCAGTTCAATATTTGGTGACCAAATCAGATAAATATTTTTTTTAAGCATTTGTCAAAACATTCTGATTTAGAATAAGAATTTGAATTTGGCAATAAGATTCAAGGAAATGAACTAAATTATTTCCTTAAATTATGTCCTTAAATCTTAATGTCATTTAAATAGATTTTAATTTTTTTAAGCGTAAATTGTATAAACATTAGAATTATAAAGCAAATTCGGAATGCAGTGTGTGATTTTCTTATGATTAAATTAGAAAATCAATAATGCATATAAAATAATCACATAAATAAATTAGAACCTCCTCAGACGTACTACTGAAGTAATATTTGAAAAAACATTGTCTTTGTGAATATTAAATCAACCTAATAAAAATCAGGATTAATATAATTATTAAATTTATTATATTAGTATATAGGTTACTCATTGTTTTTTTTAATGCATTGAAATATTTTTATTGAAAACCATTTCTTATACAGGAAAACCATTGAAGGAAAAATGAAATACACAATCGAATACGAAAAATTATTTGTGCATAGACAAATTTTTTAGATATTGCTTCGAATAGTCAGTCGTAATTTTATAAAAACAAAGAAAATATACAACTAACTATACAGTCATATTGGGTTTTTTTTTGCATAAAGCCGAAAATTTTTTACTTATAGCATTAACGTTGGGGTCTGAGGACTCCAGTCTAAAACTTTTTGGGCTTCACTAGTTAAAAATATTCCAATTCTGTAAACATCATGTATAGGGCCAGTATCATTCTGTAGTATAAAATCAGGATGGCTTAAGTTATCTCCAGCAACTATTTATAGACATAAACTAATTAATTGCACAAATAATTTTCGAAATTTTCTTTTTGCTTGTTTTATGTATACTACAAATGAATTATCTTGTTATTTTTAATGTGATTCCTGTTTTTTCTACTAATTTTATTATGTATTTAAAATTTGATTACATTTTTTATTTTTTACTAAATTACATATCTTGCTAATCATCAAAGGAATACATATTGAAATTTGCCTACATTTGTACAAATAATTCTTGGGATGACTGTATATCCCTTAAGAATATTTTTAAAAATTTTAATTAATGGAGTACTTTCTGTATTTATAGATAAACATAAATTTATTACAGAAAAAACTTATAATATTAAAATATTTAAATAGAAAATCTCATTACCTAATTCTTTTATATAAAAAAAAAAGGAAAGATATCTGGAAAAAGAGATAGTTTTTACACTGTTCTGCAGCATAGTTCTGCAGGGATTTAGATAGTTCTGCAGAGATAAATAGTGAAAGAATGAAATGTATAAAAACTATATATGTAAGATGTTTTGAATATGGGAAATTTTATACCTGATAATCAAAATTTTTTTTTAATGCCGGTCAATTACGGATGGTTGAAATAACCGCGAGATAGCAACCAACAGACATGCTTAATTAATATTGAATTATTCAAAAATGAATAATTTTGAAGGATTGTTCATTCGTTAGCCTCACTATTGCGTAAGAGCAAAAGTACAGTTGTTAACGTCAAATTGACAAAATTCTGTTAATTTGACGTTAACAACTGTACTAAATCACGTGTTAATGGCCAATACACGAAAGTAAACAGTAAAATAATCATTTTTTAAATTTAAGAAATTAACTTTATACTGCCGTATTTTTATTAATATTAGAAAAAAAAATAATAAACTCTTATACATATACATAAATAAATAAATTTAAGAAATTTCTTAATTCTTACCAAATTCAAATTGCAAACTCGAATATACTCCAATCTACTCGAATTACAAATCTGAAAAAATAGAAAAGACAAAAAAAAATCATTAACAAAATTTATTCCAAAAAAAAATTAACTTAAAAATATTTTTTTTTTGTGTAATATTTTCTAATTTTGAAATTTTCTTTTGACCTATAAAATCAAAACTAAATTTATGGGAAAAGAAATTCACATGAAATTCCCAAAGTAATATGGAAAATTAGTAGGAATTTTTTATTTTGAATTATGAAAAACAATTAGCAAAAACTTATCAATTATAATTACTTAAGTATATAATAAAAATGCAATATTTAAATTTAATTGCTACTATATTCATAAATAAATTTAATAATTAATCATTAAAATGAATGTTATTTTGATAACATTGAATTGCATGAGTTAATAAAATCAAAATAATTAAAAATACGTACATATTGTATATATAATCATCGTGATATAATAAAAACAAGAAAAAATATAATAATTAAAGCCTTCTACACTTTTACAAACACATGTATACTTATATTATCAGGCTTGCCATGATATGCCATTCCAATACAAATAAATTATCATAAATGATTTTGTTATTGAATTCTTAATCGTTCGCTTATCTACGAAACAATTTTTTGATTTCAAAATTAAAATAAAAAAATAAATTCATAATAAATATGGTGAGAGAATATTAAAATTCTAAGCTTTGAAAAATTGTGAGTTTGATAAATTTTGAAAAATTGTTTCCTTACAGACTAATTGGGAAAAAAAATTAAATAATTTTCTCTAAAAGGCAACAAATCAGCCTCAAACTCAATTATTTAAAAAAAAATAATCAGAAATAACACTTAAACTTTAAATATCAAATGGATATGGTGTGACATGAAAGGAAAATGACGTGCCATTGCACACATAATTAATATTTTTTACATTAAAAATACAAGTACAAATTACCAATAAATCTTGCAAGAAAGACACTGAATGATCCTGTTTATCGAACAGTGTTGAAAAAATTGGTTTGACTGGTTGTATTTTTTTCTTTTCAGTACACTACAACTACATAATGGATGATTTATTTTATATATTGCATTTCTCATGTCATTTGTATAGTGGTTTTTGTAATGTCATTAGCCTGCGAATTCATTTCGACTTATAATTAATAAAATTTAAGTACTAGGTATATCAGACGTTTTTTCACTAATAAAAACTCATGTAACAAAAAATATCACCTGTCAAAGAAAATGATTTGACAATTCGATGACATAAGAAAAGCACTCCCTTTTTTTTAACAGCGATATAATAAAAAGTAAATCATAATTCTGTATAAAATTTTAGCTGTCAAATTTTGACAGAATACGTACATAAAATTATGAATTTGACGCAAAATATTAAGAAAAGACAAATTTAACTTACACCGTTTTTGCTTGTTACCACAGAATTATTAATATTATTTTCGAACAAGTTCTTTTATGAAAACATCACAAATTATTAGCATAATTAAATTTTAAAATTAAATGAACAAGTATAAGAGTTTTTCATTCTGACCTTTTCCCTACTTACTGAACAGAAAATTCTTTATTAATACTGCGTTCTAAATATTTTGTGTCATATCCTTTCAAAAGTAATTAGAACACAAGATAAATTAATAAAAGCTATTTTTTTTTTAATATTAAATAAAATTAATATAGCTATAAACGTGACACAAATTTCATTCATAATCAGGTTTACTTTTTCTTAAACAAAATTATAATTTATCAAAAACCACAAATTCTTTTAATATTTTGTGATGAAAAAAAAACCTTTTTCTTATTAAAACTGCATAAATTTTCTTTGTACTCTTAATTACATTTTTTTCTTTTTGTTTCTGCTATGGTAAATTGGTAACATTGTGGCCCCCAACAGTAAATTTTATGATGTCACACAAAAATTACAAGGAATAAAAAAAAATTTCAATGCGGAAATAAAAAAAAACCAAAACATAAAGGATAACAGAAAATGGAATTTGTTTTCTTAGTGTAAATGAGGACGAAAAAGTTCATTGCACTTATAAATTTTATTTTTTTTTTTTAGTAATCAAATGTTCACATACCCGTAATGTATGAAAATATTTGAAAAGTGTGGAATAAAAAATACATGATTAAAAATTTATATTTGTGCAAATTAAAATACTAGATTCAAATACGAATTCAAAGTATGTGAAAAGAAATTAAGAAAAAAAAAATTTGATTGCTATGCTATACCCAGAAATCTAGGTAGCAGCATTAACAGATTTTTCTTAGAACATTTCTACGTACATTCACTTTTTCAAAGGTATTTAATTTACACAAAGGCAAAAGCAAATATCATACATACTTATTTGCAACTTTTTAATATTATGTAAACAGTTGTACGAACGTACGTAAAAAAGGAACAGAGGGAAAAGGGTTTTAAGAATAATGTCTGATTAAAGACTCGTATAAGTATTTGTATGCATGTATATACTACTAAAGCGTATATGTACATTAATAAAAGCAAAATATTGAATGTAAAATAATTTTAAAAATATTGTTTGAATAACAATAAGCAACATTATGTACATACGTGTACAGTTTCTTCCTTTATTTGAGTAGAAAATCATTTACTACAAAAGTTTTGATTATTAAAATCGTTTCTTTATACTTATATAGAAGATGCTTATTAGCTATACATACACATTCACAGGAAATTTAATTGTTATTTCAATTAGAATCTCGAAATTAACGTACAACGTACGTACACGAAGTACGAAAATAATAACAACATAATATTGAATACTTTCATTATTTATATACTTACTACAATTTAACACTTAAAATTAACTTTAAAGAGTTATCAGACTACATTTAAGTTAAGCAAATGTACCTTAGTCTTAAATTTTAACAATTATTGTTGTACAACGTATTCTTAATCCATAAATTTTGTTCCCTAACTGATAACATTTTCCGCAAATTTTACAACAAAGGCTTTAAAGTAAAAGCAATATTAAATGTAAACCCCGAATTGGAACGCTCTCGATTCCCGTTATTTATCGTATATTATAACTTTATTGGAATGTGCCACATTTTGCCCATTTTAAATATGGGTAGCGTACTGAACTGTTTTGTTATTATTATTTCAATAATTAAAAATCTAGTTTGAACAAATTTGCCCTTTAACCCACGCAGTTTGAGTTAGCCTATCCGCTTATTTTCATAAAAAAAAAATCTGAAATAATGCTTTATTCTTGTGCATCACCAATTGCTGAAAATATCATCGCCCCTCTCGCCTCCCCTCGCCATCGATCCTTCTTGTTATATTAGGTTTTTTGTATGGAAAATTAGAACACAACCTGAGATCAATTCATTATGAGGTATATGCTTCTAAATGTCGTTGTTTTCTTGTATGTTTGTTTTATGCTTGACCAAATAATAAAATATTTATGTATATTTAAAATTACTTTCGTGTATATGTAAATTATGGTGAAATTTCATGTATGTAAAATCACTGGGAAATGTAAAAGTGGAAGATGTTCAACTGCCTAATTATGCTGGAAAGTATATGTAAAATCATTTTCATTTAGGTGTAAAACACTCTGTGCTCTTAGTGATAAATGTCGAATAATTTTACTGGAAATTCATAATTTTTAAATTGTAACTTTAAAATATCTTTTATTTGAATAATAAAAATCTGAACCGTGTATACTTACTCTTAAAATATAATATTGGGCATTTTTACCCTTAAGTATGACAGAAAATAACTAATTAAAACCATTACATATAGGGATTTTTTTCTGAGTGTACCCTGAGCACATAATAACTTAATTTATTGTAAAATAACGATTTCGAAACACTCGTTTTACTTTCACAAACAAAGTTTCTTTTATAAAAAAAAAAAAGAACTACAAAACAATTACAAAATCACTTACCTTGCATAATTTATTGCTGATTTTCATTATTTAAAAAAGTACTTAAACAATATTTTAATATTTAAAATTATTGAAAAAAAAAATCAATGAAATGCATTCTGTTTCCCTGCACTTTGATATTTAAAATTTAAATTTTATAATAATTGTTGCTTTCTCTCACTGATTTCAATATTAAAAGAATGACAAAATCAATAAAGTGTAAAAGTTATTGCTTTTTTAAGAATTATTATCGGTTTTAATGAAATTACATTTATACCACAAGTATTTTGAAATGTAAACTCCAAAACTATTCACAGCTTATTTACAAAAATTTCATTTTAATCATTCATTACTTTATTTATTCTTAAACTTTTACCACTAAAATTTATTTTCGTATTGGAAAAATAAAAAAATATTTTTTTTTGCAGAAGAAAATCTTAACCGCAATATTTTTTTTTCGATTTTTTTTCTTTTTGTCCTTGGTAAGCAAAATAACACTATAAACGTAGGCTTTAAAATGCCTCCATCCGTAATATAGTATAGGTGCACAGAAAACAAATATTGTATAAAGAAATGTTTTTGTTGATTTCAACACAAACTTTTATACTCATATATTAAGCATGAAATTTTTTTTTTTTGTGTTACGACAGTAAAGTTATATACGTAAATAGTTGGGTTTATTAAAAGTCTATGCATCTAAAAATGGTATGATTAAAAGGAAAATAAGAAAACATGCGCTGCACATACATAGATGCAATGTATAACAATGACAATAACAATAATATTGAATTGAACAGCTCAGCATATTTATATATGTATGTAAGTAGACAAAAATGTAAAATTATAAACAATAATAATGTATCTGTAAATTAGACCCTATGACATAAGAGCAAAGCTAATTTATTCTTATATTTTTTTTATAATAAATTTACATATTACAAATAATTTTCGCTCATAAAATTTTTTAATTGTAAGACCTTAATATTTTATTCAGAAAAACAAAACTTTTACCATTTGTTTTAGCAGAAAAGTTTTAGCAATGCTTACAATTTGAAAATAATTTGATCTTCTCACATTCATATTGAAACTATAAACATGTTCGTTAAATATCTACTAAATCATTTTCAGCTGCCTGCAACTTCAA